GTGTGTGTGTGTGTGTGTGTGTGAGAGAGAGTGTGAGAGAGTGTGTGTGTTGTGTGTGTGTGTGTGTGTGTGTGTGTGTGTGTGTGTGTGTGTGTGTGTGTGTGTGAGAGTGTGTGTAAACAGCTGGTGTGAAATCTTCCCACCTGTGCACAGCAGTTTAATGTCTCGGCGCAGCGACTTCAATCTGGATGTTTTAACAGCTATTTTTAAGAATAAAACACTAAATAAACACATTATGTGTATTTTTTTTATTATACCTAAAATATGCAAAGTCATGTAATGACTGCATCTTTAAAAGAGAAGAAAGAAATCTTGAAAATATTATTTTAAATATTAAACACTTTAAAGCGATAATATGTCGAGTATAGTGCTGTCTGCCCCCTAGTGGCCAAAAAAATGCAATGACGGCAGTTTTCAGGGAAATGACTTTAACTTTCACTTCTGTTCTTCTGTGTACCGACAGGCCTGGTGTGTGTGTGGGTGTGTGTGGGTGTGTGTGAGTGTGTGTGTGTGTGTGTGTGTGTGTGTGTGTGTGTGTGTGTGTGTGAGTGTGTGTGTGTGTGAGAGAGTACGATGGCGTCGCCGCTTGAACACGAATGATCGGACATGGACGACACAAACGAAACGTTTTTGGCGACGCATTGGCCCTTCCCATGTGACCCCAGTATCTTTGAATTCCCCGGAAAAAACCCCGGCGAAGACCCCGGCATCGAACCGGAAAATGACCCCATCGTCGGCGGAAACCCCGTTGGCGGCGACACCTCCATGGGGTTGCCTTTCCCAGAAGACCCCATCAAAATGCCAAGTGTACAGGTACATAATAATAATAATAATAATACATTGAATTTGTATGGCGCTTTTCTTAGTGCTCAAAGACGCTTGATTCAACAAACAAACACGTAATTATTTACAACATAAAGTCGTATCAACGCTCCAGTGGTGACTAAATCTAAAAACTAAAAGGGTTTTTTAAAGGAATTGTGTTATATTGTGCACATATTTATTTTACTTCTCTATGTTTGTATACATATTTAAATTGTTCTTATACTTGAATTTTTGGTTATTTAAAAATCATTTATTTACATTTTGGCTTTGTTTATATTATTTGTATATACTTTAATCTATTTTCTACATGAATCTCCTCTCCTTCAGGTGGTCTTGATCCTGGCTTACAGCACCATCATAGTGCTGGGGGTTCTGGGTAATTCTCTGGTGATCTACGTTATCTATCGCTTCAAGACGCTGCGCACCGTCACCAACTTCTTCATCGCTAACCTCGCTGTTGGTACGTACACACACACACACACACACACACACACACACACACACACACACACACACACACACACACACACACACACACACACACACACACACACACACACACACACACACACACACAAACACCTTCCTCTCCTTTGGATGTCAGAGAGGATTTCCAGGCTCTGATGAGTCTAGGCTGACAAATCTGTGTGTGTGTGTGTGTGTGTGTGTGTGTGTGTGTGTGTGTGTGTGTGTGTGTGTGTGTGTGTGTGTGTGTGTGTGTGTGTGTGTGTGTGTGTGTGTGTGTGTGCGTGTGTGTCTCTAACATCTGTCAGCAGTAATCAGTGTCTCCTCTGTGATGTCTGCATTGTGTCAACATGTAAGATGTGTGGATTACAGATAAATCACTAGGATTTTAATTCCTCAGAGTTTTCGCCCTGAACAAAGAAATAAAGATCTTTGACTTAATTTTTGTGACTTTCAAAAAGCCGTTTTTGTATAAATATTATACCGAATGATTCCTTTCACTCTCGTGCAGGAAATGAAACATTAACTCTGCTTTTCCATGTTATCTACATGTTTTTTCCATGTAAGCGGACCTGTTGGTGAACGTGCTGTGTCTTCCATTCACGCTGGTCTACGCATTGCGCGGAATGAATCCGTGTTTTTCCCTGCCTTTCTTTTTTCACGTGTTTTCTGTGTGTTTTTTTAATCTCTGTCAACACGCTGCGACTCCCCTTCACGCTCGTTTACACGCTGCAGGGAATTAAACATTAAAACTGTTTTTGTACATGTTTTTCTCCATTCACGCTGGCACTGTGGGGAATGAAACATTAACTGTGTGTATCTCCCGTGTTTTTTAATCTCTGTCAGCGGACCTGCTGGTGAACACGCTGTGTCTCCCCTTCACGCTGGTCTACACGCTGCAGGGCGAATGGAAGTTCGGGGGGGCGCTCTGCTTCCTGCTGCCGTACGCTCAGTGCCTCGCCGTGCACGTGTCCACCGTCACGCTCAACGTCATCGCACTGGACCGACACAGGTGGGCGGGAAATTCAAAGATTCAAAGGTTCTATTGACATATCAGCTACAGTGTAGAAATGGCAATGAAATTATTCTGACCTGAGCTC